AGCAAATGCTAATCCTCTTGATTTATTATTGGCTGGTGCTTTTTCAGCTTCCTCAGAGCATGTTCAGAGAAAATTTGAGTTCTGTTTGAGAATTCCCTCCTAGTCCGTATATGTGTTGATGCAAGTGCACAGATGGTGTTTCTGACACCCCGTGAGTGTTGGTATTATCTGGTGCCATGCGTATAATTCCACTTGCACATTGGGAACTGTTGTCTAGTTGCCATACCAAGCAAATGCATCTGAGATACTTGAGAATCTGAGGAACATATCAACAACAGCAAGAAGACACCCACACCCTGATAGTCCTGTGGCAGGAGGCCACTTGGAGAAATCCCCCTACAGTAGAAGAGTGCTTGGGTATGATAGAAGGCAATGAAACATGCATTAATTGCCACCTACACCCCCCTAAAAACCCCCCTCATGTGCAGTGCTGTAGTGCCACTTGGAATCACATATACATGTAAGAGAGTACTTGGCAGAATTAGCAGTGGGAGGCAATGAAAAATTCATTCAGCTACAATCAAAAAGCTGGAGATGCCTCAGTAGAGAATATATGGTCACCAAGGAAGAATTGCTTGGTTGATTTGATTATTTGGTTGGGTAGTCAATTTACTGTTGAATGGGATGCTTGGAGGAGGTGCAACGAGGGTTCCTTCGCTGCACACACAGTTCTGTAGAGCCTATATGCCATTGCAGTGCAAGTGGAACCTAGTTCTTAAATTCCACATTTAGAAACTTGCCAAGGTAAATATTATTGCAAAGTTTTGATTAATTATTTTTATGCCATAGATCTGCATACACACACACACACACACACACACACACACTTAAAAAGCCGGGTTATAGAATATGATAGATAAGTGTGTTCCCCCCTCCTCACATACAGCATAAATTGTGCGTTGGTTTCACACAGCCCATCAGAGTTTTAACAAAATCTTCAATAAATGGTAAGGAATTTGCAGTGATCTCCTCACATGCACTGTTTGCTTTAGCTCCCTTGTCTGCTGAATGTTGGCTGTCCAGGTGCAGAAGCTTGTTAGTCATTAAGATCCAGAGGGATGGCATTTGTTAATTGAGCATCACAAATTGATCAGATCTGTTTTCCAAGTTGACTAATTGCAAACTTCAGTGGTGTCGCTGTTCAGTAATTATGCAGGAAGCACAGTGTGACATCAATCAGATGACAGGCTTGTGTGAGTAATTTGCTCCAAATTTCCGCGCAGAAACGGTTAACACTTTTAAACATTCAGTTACTGCTTTGGAAACTGCAGCCCTCATCATCTTATTCACCCCATCCAGCGCTGTGGCCATATAAGCTGCATTCCCACTGTGGAAGGAAGTGTGGATCCAGAATTGGCCTCCACAGTCACTTACAGACTCATTGTTAAGACTGTGTTCATGGAAGACCATCTTACCTGGCCACGAGTGATCACCAAAGATCTATTTCAAAAGGCTGTCCTCAGCTGATTCAAACATGAAACATCTGTTACTTGATATTCCTTCACTCAGTGGTGTCAGTCAAATGTCTGACGGCCTTTTCACACATGAGCTGGACATCACTGCTGTTGTGAACAGGCATGTGTGGTGGTGATGGGATGAATAATATTTGCAATGGGAATTGGAGAGGGTGAGGACCAGGACATCCCAGGGAGGGATTTTCCAGCAGAGAATCTGAGTGGGAGAGAGCACCTATCAATTCATCCCTGCAAATTCCTCCAAAAGATTACTGCCCCTGCCCCCAATCTGGGTCTGAAATTAGAAGTGAATTTGATTGTAGGGGGGGTGGAGTGTGTGTGTGTGTGTGTGTGTGTAGATTGACAGGAAATAATCAGTAGCTACAAGAGGAGTTAAATATCCCTTCTCATACCTAATTATTGTCCCTGTAAGTGACCTTCCTCCCTGTTATCTGGGCAAACATGGAGTTAGAAGCTCACATCTGTTAAGATAGCTAATGTCTATGTGGTACTAGGGGCAAACAATATAACTACATGCTGATATTTGCACTTGATGGAGTACTATATTTTTCGCTCTATAAGACGCACCAGACCACAAGATGCACCTAGTTTTTGGAGGAGGAAAACAAGAAAAAAAAAATTCTGAATCCCAGAAGCCAGAACAGCAAGAGGGATCACTGCGCAGTGAAAGCAGCAATCCCTCTTGTTGTTCTGGCTTCTGGGATAGCTGTGCAGCCCGCATTCGCTCCATAAGACGCACACACATTTCCCTTACTTTTTAGGAGGGAAAAAGTGAGTCTTATAGAGCAAAAAATATGGTAATTCCAGGGCCTCAGGTAGCATGTGCTGGGGAATGGGGCACTAAGTAACCACACCTACTTTTGTGAACAGCTAGATCTAGAATCAGTCTATATTGAAAGCAAGAAGAACCAGTATAAATGAATCTGGATTTAAGACAACAACCACACTGTTTCATTCCTCGCCTGACCAATGTTTTTTTCTGTCCCTCCTGCCTCTCCATCCTATTACTAGGGTGCAATATGTCTCTGCACCAGCAGAATCTTTGTTTCAAAGAAACATTTACAATGAATTCTTGAGAAGGTTTGTGGAAGCTGTCAAAAAGTGGAAAGTTGGAACCCCTCAGATCCCACAATTGACCAGGGAGCACTGATAAGTAAAGAACATTTAGCAAAGGTAAGAAAAGAAAACCAAAGTTGATTAAAGTAAAGGTACCCCTGCCGTATGGGCCAGTCTTGACAGCCTCTAGGTTGTGCGCTCATCTCACTCAAGAGGCAGGGGCCAGCGCTGTCTGCAGACACTTCGGGTCACGTGGCCAGCGTGACAAGCTACGTCTGGCAAGCCAGCGCAGCACACAGAACGCCGTTTACCTTCCCGCTGGTAAAGCAGTTCCTATTTATCTACTTGCACCCGGGGGTGGCTTTCGAAACTGCTAGGTTGGCAGGCGCTGGGACCGAACAAAGGGAGCGCACCCCAGCTGCAGGGATTCGAACCGCCGACCTTTCGATCAGCAAGTCCTAGGCGGCTGAGGCCTTTACCCACAGCGGCCACCCGCGCTGTTGATTATTTGGTGATCAAATAAAGTGCTGTTTTTCTTTCTGGCTTGAGAAGAAGGGACCTCAGGAATGAAGAGAGTACTTTTTTCTCACCTCCACTGTAAAATTCACAGTCCATTTTTGTTGAGCAAACAGGGCAGAACTTTTAGCTGATTTTGAGGCCCAGTATACCTTTCAAAAATTTAAGTACTGCAGTTGTTAAAATTGCATGTATTGTCTGGGTGACAAGGAATTAAAACTGTTGCTTCCTCTTGTAAGCTTGTTTTTCCAAACATGTTGACAGCAGGATTGAAAATAATATTTCCGATTTCCAAGAGCCAATATCAACTTTTAATGCTCCAAGGGTTTCCCCAGCATTGATTACCTATCAACCATTATTAGTTAAGTACCTGAAATCCCTAACGCTACAGCTCTCTTCAGGTGTTACCAAAACAACATCCGCAAACAGATGCAGTGCAAATGAGGGGCACTAGCTCCATGCCCTTCTAACACATGGAAGGTGACACGTGAATCAGGGAGCCTTTTTGTGTCTGTGGGGGTCCCCTTGCATAACTAGGATCTGACGCAAGAGCTTCAGGTTTGGACTATCACCTTCCACAAATTTAGTAGGCGATAGAGGGAGGTGGAGCTAGGAAGCTTCTCCAAAAGCTGTACTGCCCCCGCCTCATGTACTTGCTGTTGACATTTAGCAATGCCTGTGAAGTACAAATCACTTGGAAAAAAGTCCCATACAGTGGTACTTCGGGTTAAGAACTTAATTCGTTCCGGAGGTCTGTTCTTAACCTGAAACTGTTCTTTAACCTGAAGCACCACTTTAGCTAATGGGGCCTTCCCACTGCCACCGCAAAATTTCTGTTCTCATCTTGAAAGCAAAGTT